TGCTCTATAAGCCCACCGACAGCAAGGCATCCGCGATTCCCAATGGGATCGCAAATCACTAAATCGGCACCTATGGTCCTCATTGCCATATCCCTGCGCATAGAAGCCATGACCATGAAGAAGGCCCTCCGTGTCTCTTAAAATCGTAGCAGCATGGCTATACGGCGCAGGAGGCTCAGGGCATAGGCATGCCATGCCGAGAACGGGAATCGTGCGCATTAATCTTCGCCGACACTCAGTGCTAGATGCCCCAGTGTCGAATCTCCAACAGGCTCTTTATACCGAGCTCGAGGCACAGGCCAGGCTCCAAGAAAGCTCGCAGGTACAGTCTTATGCCATCGCCCCACTAGGCCAAAGGGCCAGAGCAGGGCGGTGATAACCCCGGATAGCCCCACAGTCCTGTCTAGGGTCGTCTTTTTCATTTTACTTTTGCACTGCTGCGATAAAGTGGCTAAGAGCAACGCAGCAATCTGACGAGTCCTGGAAGTAATTATGACCCAAGAATCTATAGACGATAGATGATGTGGCCAAGCGCTATGGATGGTCCTGAGTAAATGCCTCTAGTAATCGCTATTTCGGCGCGTGCCATATGATTTATTCCTTACATGGATTTCAGGATTTATTATTCGGAAATTTGTTCACTCTAGAACCAACAACAAGCGAAAGCGAGGCGAATGGAAACCATGCCTCACCGGCCTAGCGAGTTCCAGTGCAAGTGGCATGCAATAGACCGATTAACTTGGGAGTCCAAAAAGAGCGACAGGGAAGCACAGAGACCAATATGGTTCTATAGACCCTTATAATGGATGAAATCACTATACTCTGTGAATGAGTCATTTGTACCATCTGCCAAGGCCAAGGCCAGCAGCATGCGAGTAACGACCCCGCGGCTAGCGGCTCCCAGAAATCGGTCCGACGTTCGATCTCTCCCAAAGGCGCGAAGAGCCAGGCAACGCAAAGCAGCTGCCTTAAATGTCTCTCCGCTTATTAAATTAAAGCCTAGATTGCAAAGCAACATGCTTCTACTGGCCATGGTGGTCCCCCACTGAGAGAGCCATGCCTGCCGAAACTGGCCAGGCGCATATCGCCAACACGCTCGAGATGTCAGCTACATGCCCATGCACCCAAGGGATCCCTCGTTGCGAATCTAGGCCCAGCAGCCCATGCCAATGCCGAAGGCAACCCCCCACGGCGCACCGGCTCAACAAGCCAAGGCAAGCAAACTGTCACAAAGCGATTCCCGCAAGGCCAAGGCCAGCAGCCAGCCAGTGCCCTGAGCGCGCGACTCAAACAAATGTAGCAGCCCAAGCAGCTATCCACACGCCAAGCAGCGCAAAAGTCTGCGAACCCCAGGCGCAAGGCGCACACGCGAAGTTTCCTAAATCTGCCATTGCCACGGCCCAAGGCAGCCCAGCCTCGAAAAATAAATGCGAACTCTTGCGAGGGCTATGGCCAACATATGTCGCATTGTCCCACGAGGTGGCCCATAGGACGCGAAGGATGAGCAGACATAGCACTATCACGGGTCTGACGTGACAGACCGTCCCCGAGAGTTCAGACACTAAAGCACGAGCCAGTACCGGAAGGGACCTTATGGATTTCCCCTTAAGGCCACAGAGCCAAGGCCAGCAGCATGCCCAAATTGCGCGATGAATATGGTGGATTTCACCGGCAGGCCAAAGGCAGCCCAGCCAAAGCCAGCAGCCAATAGGCCAACACAGGCCCCTTATGACGCGCCTATTCGATGTTACTAGTGAGCATGCCATGCCAAAACGGCCAATGGTTGCCAAAGCCAAAGCCAGCAGCAGTGCATGCCCAGGCCTTAGGCCCAGCAAGCATGCCATGGCCACGGCCAAGGCAGGCCAGCCAAAGCCAGGCAGCATGCCATGCCAAAGGCCAAGGCCAGCAGCATGCTCATGTCCTGACGGCCGTAAAAGGGCAGCCCGCCAAAAGCCAAAGCAGCATGCCATGCCAAAGGTGTCCTTTGAGGCCAGCAAGCATGGCCATGCCAACCCGGCCAATGCAGGCGAAGCCAAAGCCAGCAGCATGCCCATGCCAAGGCATGGCCAGCAGCATGCCATGCCAACGGCCAAGGCAGTCGCCGCCAAAGCCAGCCCGCATGCCATGCCAAGGCCAGGCCAGCAGCTGCCATGCCACGGGCCAAAGTGTCGAGCCCAGCCAAAAGCAAGCGCATGCCTGTGGCCCTATCTCGGCTTGCGAACTGGCGTTTCACGAATCCAAGAGGAGG